GGGGGGGGGTTATTAGTACGGGTTTTACGGCACTGCAACACAAAAATGTCACATAAGTAGCAAGAATTATCATTCGATTAGAGTTGTTTCTAGAGAGTAACGTACCGAAAGAGAAGAAGGTAATTTTTACAAAAGCTGTTTTTGCGCCACCAACGACAGAATTTGATCAGTAAGGAGTCAGACTTATTAAATAATTGAGGAGAAAAGGACATACGGACATACGAAATCAGACATTTGATTACAAATAAGGAGCAAACCACACCAGAACACCTATCAATCAATCACAAAGCTAAACTAAGGCAACAAGAAAGCAGCACAGACAAGGAAGTTGAGGTCAATGTTGTGAGTGGACAGTGGACAGTCCGTACTCTGACAGGTATCCTGATTTAGGGGCAGGATGGGCGTTGGCCTGACAGTAGAAGCTAGAAGAAAATACTAAATAACCTGGAATACATAGGACTATGACCCTCCCTTCTTCGTGGGTAGACTTCTTACCCTGCATAGAGGAGTAATGTTCAGTGGAGAGTGGCTTTTTTTTTTCTTTTCTGTTTGTTAGTGTATAAGTTTTAGTGTGTTGAGAGCGTTTGTGTGTGTGTGAGAGAGAGAGAGAGAGAGAGAGAGAGAGAGAGAGAGTGTGTGTGTGTGTGTGTGTGTGTGTGTGTGTGTGTATGTGTGTGTGTGTGTGCGTGCGTGTATGTGTGTGTATTTGTGTATGTTTGTTTGTGTGTCTTTGTGTGTACGTATGTAAAAGGGGTGGGGGTGGGGGGTGGAGTGGGTGGATATATTACAAGTTTGTTTAAGTGTGTATTTCTTTGCATATGTACGCTTGTGTGTTTTGTGTGTGTGTTTCTGTGTGTGTGTGTGTGTGTACTTGTGTTTGTTGGGGTTTGTTTGTATTTCTCTGTGTGTTTTTGTTCGTTTGTGTGCGTTTATGTGATGTAAGTTAAAAGAGGGAGTAGGGGGTGGGTGGAGGTATTCGTGGCCTCAATAAAATCACAAACATAGGTGGCAAGCTGCCATCTGGTGTAGTCTGCACCCTCTACTTCAATCCTTTTTCCTTTGTGCTCATCCATTCCTGGCATAATATGACTGTTAATATTGGCATTTCAGAAGAAAAAAAAGAGGCAGAATCTACCAGTTGGGCTCCACAACCACCCTCGTGTCATTCTGTGAAAAAATAATATTATATACATTTCTTCCCCTCCCTAACTATCCCTCTAATTGGGTTGTTTCAACGTACGCATGGGGACGAAATAATACATAATTTCACAGCTTATTAAACATGTGAGTTGCCTTTTAAATGTACAGCGCTCAGGGCAATATTCAAATGGGCCTATCCCCCC